TTTCTCTTCAGCGGCGGCTGTAGGGTGAGGCGGGGGGAGGGGAAAACAAATTTGGCTGTGGCATCGATTGGAGCAGCTCAATCAAAACTCAATTTCAAACGTAATTAGCTGTAGGCTTGTGACAACAGCGCAGCTTCAATGGCGTCGATGGGCCAGTCATGCTAGGCAAATGTCAGGGGGGGAAGGTCTTTAAACGCTGCAGTTTGATTCACCTGTAAAATGACATCTTCCCCCGGCCTTGAGAAAGCAATCTGCCTCGCCACGATGTGCGCTTGATTCGACAATCCCTGAGTGCTCACACCTAAATTTGCTTACAAGTGCACATTATTTGGGATCCGGGCTCAGAGTGCACTCCCCTTTTAATTGTCTCCGTGTCTTTCAGAGGAAAAGCATGAAGAATCTCCAGGCAACCTTTTTATTTTCTTGCCTCTCTATACGTAGCGTAGCAGGTTAATTATTTGAGCAGGGGATGGCTGCTGATAGCATTTGATTTAAAGGCCTGAAGGCTTTAGGTGCTCAATTAAGTTGCTATCAGTCTGCTCCTCACCTCTAATGGTCTCTCTCGCCATTGAACTTCTGTGCTGACGAGGGGAGCGTAGAGGAGCGATATCACTGGTCACCATAATTAAGGCCAAGGGACTCTTTAATTGTAATGACACCACCAGTTTTGGCTTCCTTCTCCTCAAATCAGCCCTCTCCTTTGTTGTTTTCTCACTTTCTAGGTATTCAGCCCCTTGATCAATCAGAGGAGGAGGATTTTGTCAGCGGAAACATCGCGGAATGCTGATTTATTGACTTGCTCCAACTCGGAACGGGCGGAATAAAGAGGGGCTACAATCTACGGCTGTCTTTCATTACGAAAGCAAGACAAGAAATCTGTCTGCGCTCCATAGGCGATGTCTAGAGGATTTAATTTGGATGCCGACTGTGAGGTAAAATACAACCTAGCAGGGCTGTTTTAGGCCATCTGGCAGAAGCTCGGCCTCTTAAGCGGAACCTTTTGAGTGGAGTGATGGAAGTTGGTACAACAATGATTTCTGCAACACAGTCCATTATAAAAATGCCTCTCAACATTAGCAGCCAAAGCACCTTAAAAGCACCTAGCCATATTGATACTTAAGCAGGGCTTTGCATAATGGCAATGTTACATTAGGGAGAGAGAGTGAGAGTGAGAGAAAGAGAGAGAGAGGGAGAGAGAAGGTGGGTGGGGTGGAAGGCAAGAGTAGGGGGAGATTTCACGGCAAAGAGAGCGGCGGGCGGTGGGGGCTGAGAGCAGCCAAATGACACTCGGTTAATTCAGAGTAACAGATCTAGTCCCAAGTGGATTGAAGGCCTTGAATTAATTCTGTTATGACAAATCAAGATAAACGTTTCCCCTAAATTGCATGCGATTTAATTAATTTCTGAGATCCAAGTATTTCCTGGCTTAATAGTTCACATGCTCCTGTGCTGTCATAGTGCTTGAGTAGGCAGACTTCAAAGTGATATTAAATAACCAACTATTAGATTTACCTAGCACGTTCTATTGGAAAAGTGCCATTTAATTACCTGGCTCTATTCAATTAAAAGGACAGTGTTTTCCCCCCGACCTAATGGTCACATGATTGCTCTCTCCCCAAATTAATTCCCTCTCTCTCTCTCTCTGTCTCGGTTCTCTCCGGAAATATCAGCGATGGCTTAGGGACAACATGATTTCCAATGAGTCCCTCCTGCTTCTCTGGGGCTAAAACTGCTGAAATCTACAACTCGCGGCGGTTGCCCTTGTGCTTGGCGCTGGTGGCCTCGAGCAGAGTGGTATCAGAAGCCTATCATCCCATGTAATTTCCCCCCATCTGCCATTAGGGAAAATGGGATGCGTTTTCGCTCGTGCCATCCCAATCAATCGCTAAGCCTTTTTGCATCAGTGGTATTAATATAATTCTGGATATGTAACTTCATTATTTACACAGCAAGGGCAATTTAATAATCCATTACAAAAATAAGGGAGGCCCCTTTAAAATCCCCTAAGGGGACTGGCCTTCGCAATAATCCCCTCTTCTCTCTCTCTCCCTTGCTCTCCCGCTCTCTCAAAAGCCAATTTGGTTAATTAAATGTTTTGTTTGCAATGTGGCTCTCATTCATTTCGGACACGTCATTGGAAGCGGATAGGAGCCAGGCACTAGATCTCATTAGATAAAACCCATCAGGACTAAAGGAAAATGGAGGGGGACTCTAATTAAAGCTTTTAATTGTGTGGACTCACTGTCAGATGTTATTTTTCCCCTCTCTCTTATCTCTCCTCAGATCACAGGCTCGCGCGAGCTGTGTTTTAGCTCCGTTCTCCCGCCTGACGCGCTCTCATTACAAGGAGAAAGGTGTAGCTACTTTTCCCTCCCAGCTCGGTTTAATTAGGCTCACAGGCCCGATTCTAGAGGCCAGTCTTGTGGACTTGATCCCTTCAGATCATGTGGAGTGGAAAGAGTGAAGGCACTCTTCACATTCGGACTGGTCGTCTCAGGTTTGCTCTGGTTGACACCTGTTGTTCCAGCCTGCCAGCAGCAGTGTCAGTGCGAGGCTTCGCTGAATTATCCAGGGCGAAGCACATGCCAAGGTAAATACTCACTAATGACTGCACTTCCGTCAAAAAACACTCTTTTCCGGTAGGAAGAGCTGAATATATCATGGATACTTCATTTTATGAATTAACTTTTAAATTGCTCTGCCTGTTTTAATAAGAAAAATATTCCATTATCAGTGGCACTCACACAGTGTTTTTCCATTCCTCAAAACCAAAGAAGTAATGCAAGAAGACTGCAAACTTCTCAATGCAAGAAGTTCTAGAGGGCTTTCTGTTTGCCCTTGCAGAGGTCAAGGCGTTGAAGGATCAGCCTGTCAAATCAGGCCATCCACATCAGCTGAGTGAGACTGCCGTGCCGTCACCCTGCCACCGCTTTGAGTGTCAGACTTACTTAAATAAATAATTTATAGTCTTTTTGCTAATTAAATGGTCTCTTTGTGATAAACAAAACATGCTGGAGAGGATGTGAAAACTCTTTTAAATTCCTGCAGAGTCGAAGGTCAGCTCTGCCTTACCAATCGAGTTTTCTAGCATCTCGTAAAGAAAACACACACACACACACACACACACACACACACACCCACACACGGTCCTAGCAGCGCGGCTCCTTTTGCTTAAGGATGAAATATGGCGAGAGCCACAGACTTGCAGATGTTCTGGAGAAAGAATCTCCTTCGTCTTCTGCTCTGTCAAGATGTCAGTGGCTTGACCTCTTTTTTAAGAGTGTCCCGTTGAGGGTTTAACCAGCGTGCTTTAACTAGGGCTGCTGACGGCACAATCTGAGACACATGTTCTCAATGGAAAATACGCTTCGCTCCGTGAGAAGCTTGATGGCTTGTAACGTTTTCCTTAATATCTTTTTTTTCTTGACAACCATCACTTCATCTAATCATTACATGCCTAATGTCATTTCATGTGGTCTTTGGACTGTCATAATGTCCAGATGTATGAACTATCTGAAGTTTGGCTTCAAAGACCATGAAAAAGGAGCTGAGCAAAACTACACTATCCTCAAAACACATTACTGAAGACCCCTTTTAAAATGAATTTCACAAGTGCAACAGAAATCTGAAGGAACTTCAAAGAATGCCTTTACAAACACAAAAAGACATCCCTCAAACATGTGAATATGGTTCTGGTTGCGACTTTCAAATTAATAAACGCAGCTAACCTGATGTAGTCGTTTCTACATAGGATCATGCCACTCTTGGTGTAGCAGGATGTGCCGATCTCTCCGAGCTGGGCCTGGCAGCAGGAACATTTCAGACAGCGGCTGTGCCAATAGCTGTCCATGGCATACAGGAGAAAACGGTCGGCGATCTTTCCCCCACATCCCGCGCAGCGCTTCCACGACAGAGATCCCGCTCCAACAGGTGGGGGCTGGGCACTTCCTCCAGGGTTCACCATTGTGTCTGCAGAAACATAAAGAGACAGCCAGGATACGCGGTTAGAACTGGTAGTCAATCAGGAGTTAAGAAGTTTATTCAAGTTTTTTTTTTGCTTAACATATTCTTTGGAAAGCCCCTTCAAAATAAACTGCATATATAAAATGAAAAAAAAAAAGAACAGTGTCCCTAAAAGTATTCAAATACCATCAGCATTACAATACTCCCTATCTTACGAAGTCAGCACACTTGAGTTTCCTGAACTTCTGACAGAAGTTTTGTCCTTGCAATATCTAAAACACCTGGAGCCTGAACAGTGACCCAAAACATTGAATGTTTTCAGAGGCACGCTTCCTAAAAGCTCTTTTGAAATCATTGAAATGCATATAATGCCTGCAAGCAAGTCTGAGAATTGTTTTAAGTGGCAGGCTGTCCTTGATCTTTATCTAAGTGCTGAGGTCAGGTCCTTTGATCCATTTGCGATAAATGTCAGTTCGCTGATAACATTAGAGTCACTGGAACAATTAAAGAGGTGCTGGCTTTTGTTAGGTTGTCTACATTGCTTTTAAACTACGTTTACCTCAACCTTCATGATGGTTAACATGAGAAAGAGAAAGAGAGAAACCCAAGAGCTACTGTGGCCAGAACTGGCGCAGTTAATTGGGGAACCTTGAAGTTGTGAGAACCATTCAGAGGTTGACATATCCCTCTCGCTTTCACTAAGGTGAAAAATGACGGATTTCCAGCCAACATCATGAAGAACATTCAGCAAGCGTTTGCTTTGGGGACTGGTCACTGCCGCGTGAAATTACCCCCGGTATGCTGGATCATTCGGCATATGCGAGAATCAGTTAATGCCGGCCCACAGAAATATCTGCTTCTGACAGAAATCGCATTAACCACGAACCCTCATTTATGATTGCAGTTCTCTACTTTGCTCTGTTGATCCATCAGTATCGCATGCATGCACTTCTGCTCCATCCTTCCACTAATACATCTGAAATTTTAATCTTTCCCAGGTTTCATAAGGACTGCTGGACCGAAGTGGGAAAGATTAAAATTTAAGATATATTCGTGGAAGGCTGTAAGCCAAATCTTTTTTGAAAGGTAATTAGAGGAGGAGAAGAGAGAGGAGGGGTTAGAAAACATTGCACTGAGAGAGAGAGGCATTCAGTAACCCCATTAGTGGAGGCTCTTAGGGACAAGCAATACCTTAGTGCTGATTAAATCTAAAGGGAGATGAATCAGAGACCGAAAGTGACTCCCCCAGATAAATAAGATCGGACCATCGTCAAGTTTCATTCCCAGTAAGAGGGAAGAGGGGAGATTTGAAGAGAGGGAGGGGGTGGCTTTTAAGTCAAATGGGCAAACAAGTAATTACACGGACAGGCAATTTAAGCGAGGGGATGTGCAGAAATATAAAACAGATCAGCAGCCCATGGCCAGTAATACAAATCGCAGTCCTGGAGCGTAAATACAGCTGCTGCTACTACAACGCACAAGGCACAGCAAAAGATACAGAATAGCACTTATGTTATGGTTTGTTGCTCATCTGTACAGCACGCGAGCACTTCTGCTACACAATTTTGATACTATAAACTCAAAAAGCCTGCCATTTCCATCGAGCTTCTATCTAAACGTGTGGTCTTGATGTGAGTAAACACACAAGCAAATACACTACATTACGATCTCTAGTTATTACGTTATTTGTTACGCGCGTGACATGCAACACAAATCACATTTACAATAAAAACTTCTAAAAATAATAACAGATTTCACTAATCTGGAACATTATTTGTGTCGATCTTCCCTCTCGCGACATGAAATTACTATTATTCATAAAATAAAAAGTGTTGTTGAGAAATGTACTCACCTATTTGAAAGGCAATGGTTGAGTGGTTAATGAAAAATGTATAGCAGGCTGTTTTGTCGGTAGACAATAAAAATAACGCTCACAGTCCAACAAACTCACAGACGGAGCGCGTGCATGAATACTTCTCACTGCTGCGAAAGAGTGGAGCAAATGGAGTTTTCAGATTGTATTTCCACTGTTGCCGTCACCTTTTCAGATGTTCTGGTTATCACTGGAAAGATCGACTGCGGTTTTGTTAAATGAGCGTTCGGGAATGTCTTCTGTAATTTCCACAGATGAAGCGAGCGCCTCTGTTTGGAACTGTCCTCCGCGCTGATGTCTCTCCGTTGCTTGTCGCTTGTGCTGTACAAAGTCTACATGTGTCAGTGACAGAAAAAGCCCAGAGTAAACCTCCTCTCACAGGATGACGTCAATCAGGCTGCGGCCAATCACGACGCACCCCATTCAAGCGGAATGACAAATCCAGCCAATCAGAAGAAGGCGAGATTGACTTAGACACACACTGTTCAAAGGAGGAAAAATTGCGGTTGAGTGGGCTCTTTTTGCTTTTTGAGGTTGGATAGGGCAGTGGTTCTCAACCGGGAGGGCCGGGACCCACTAGGGGGCCTCAGTAAACTTTCAAAGAACCACTAAATGCCTTTATTAGCCTACTACAAAGAAAAATAACGCAATTAAAACGCAAAATCTGCGAGAAATATATGTGCGTCATATTTCTCACTTTGGAGAGAACTTTAAGCAACTTTAAACTGTTAGTTATTTGAGCAGATAGTTTAAGTTATGGCGAATGTCTGCAGAAACCAATTCTACATCTGGAGAATTTCCCTAGTATCTACAACACAGATTTGTTACTTACATACTTTGTTGTCTCATATTACAGGGAAATCTTGAGAGTAAATATGATTTTTATGTATTTATTTATTTATTTAATGTATTGACAGTCCTTGGTTCTGTTAATATAAGTTTGAAAACAAGCTTGTGGTTTTTGTTATCATAACAGCAGACGTACAGGAGGAAAAAACAAGGCTGTGTATAGGGACAAAAATCAACAAAAAAGTGGGGGACCACAGAATTAGACATACGGAAATGGCACAACCTGTTTATGTATTACAAGTAAGCAGCATTCAGTAAAATTCTCTGAAAATGGCAAAGTTTTTCCATATGAAAATACTACTACTACTACTACTACTACTACTAATAATAATAATAATAATAACCTTTTATATTTACTATATTTACTATGGTGCAAAAACTATACTACTGACTACAGTGCACTAACTATACAAAAGTCCATTTGGTTTCATGGACAAAGTAAAAAATTCAGTATACCAAGTCACGCTTATGTTCCTTATTATAGTGGCGCCATCCACTGGTATAAATAAGAACTACAATAATAGATTTTGTTGGTACAACTAACAGATTTTCTCCTGTTCTGAGACTTGATGCACATAACCGGAATAAATTCTGAAAATAATCTACAAGAATTTCATTAATTTAACTGACTGATAAGACATCTCAATATGTCACAACATTTTAAAACACACAAGAGATATTCCATTTAGGCTACTACAGTTTTCCTGAATTCACCAACATCCACAGATTAAAAATAATAATAATAATAATCCTTTTCAACCAAGGCATATAAGAGAAATGGCTGTTTGTATATTTCCGTGGGCACAGATACCCAGAGATTGATTGTTTGCTAAGGCAATTTCTCATCTAGGGCTGAATATTGCTCTTGTTCCTGCATAGAAGTGATTAAATGTTTGTCATTTCACAATTAAAGAACCTGAAACCACCTAACAGCCTTTTTTTTTTTTTTTTTTTTTTTTTTTTTTTTGCCAAAAGGCCTATTCATGTCAGCGAGACTAAATTTCGAAGTGCACAGTAACTCGCAGTGTGTAAAGGCAATGTGTTATTGTTTTCTGTCATGAAATTAACACATTTAATAATTAAAGAAAATGACCGCTCTGCTCCATTCTTTTTTTTTTTTTTGAATGATATCTTCATAATAGTTTCCAACTGATTTTCATTTGTCACTGAAAATTCATTCAACGTCCCAGCCGGAAGGAGCAAGAAGTGAAAAGTTATGTGATGTTCTACTGAGTTTCAGTGGGCAGCTAATCTTTACAAGACAAAACTGTGTAATTATGAGTTGCCTCTGGATTCATTAGTAAGATGTACATTGTGTAAAGAGTCTCCTATACCAGATACTAATGGTTTAATTGTCGTTGGTCCTGGCTGATTGCAGCGAGCAGTTTGATTTCCCTGCAGGAAAGGCAACTCTATTTCTCCCAGGATTGGGCTCAATTCTCTCCAACAAGAACAATGAGCCAAAGATGGCAAAGAATGTATTTTCCACGAAGGAATAATTAATTTATCTCAACTATTAAAACTAGTGGGAAATTATGGGATGACTCTGAATGGGGGCCTCAGAGGAAAAGCTTTGTTTGTTCTTGGGCTGTTTTAATGAGCTTTTCACAAATGGCCAAGAAAAAATACTTCTTTCTCTTCTCCTTTTGCAATATGATAGTCACACACAATAATGAGGAGGGGGTGCTTAGGGGATCCCATGAAAAAGAGCAACACCAAGCCCCTTTTTCTGATCTCCTGATGTCCTATCGCGACTCCTCCGCATCTATGTTGTGATTACAAACAGCACAAACAGAATAGAGGAACAGCACTGTTTAAACAGCAGCAAGAGAGAGTAAGCGATGGTATAAAGTATTGATACCCCCATAGAGGGAGAGAAAGAGCTCATAATGAAGTTTGTGTCCTCTGGGGGAAACCAATTGAAGCCGGTAAGAGACATAGAATATTCACCGTGATGCTTCATTTCAAATAAGAAATTTACCCCTCATGATATTACATTATTATGCTGTTAAACCGAGTGACTCTCCATCAAGCAGCAATGGGAAAAGGCTGAAAAGGCCTTTAAGACATTTTAGATCCATAAAACACAACATGATATGATTCAGATATGAAACAGGAACTGGAATAGGACAAAACACTGTGTTATTCCCGTTCTAAGACAACATTCCCACACATGCGGCTGTTACAATATCGTGTCAAGGCTTTGCATTAATACAGAGATAATGGATTATTAATTGGTAAATACAAATGTCTTTTGTAAAAATGTTGGAGGGTAGTGGCTGAACATTGATGCTTGATTCAGTGAATTCAGCATTGCAGCATTGAGTTCCTGAGGGCTGATCTATGGCCAAATGAGATGAAAAGTCAACTGGCTAGAAATGGTTTTTCAAATGTGAATTCAATGGTGCCTGAGGTCTTTGCTCTCATATCATCTATGTGAGGATATGTTGCTAACCCTTCTCCGTTTTCCATTATGTGTACTTTACCCAGGTGAGTGTAGCATGCCTGCAGCACCTAGATGGGTGGCGTGACACTGAGAAATATTGAATTGCATATTTCAAGACAGATTGTTTGCTCTACACGCTCATAAAGATGGAGAAAAAAATCTCAAAGTCATTTCTTTAATATGCTGTTATTGACTGCTTTGATCAATCTTGTGTCAGCAGCGAGCAAGTAAGTGAGCTTAATTAAATACAAATCGATAATTCCTTAACAAATAGCGCATGGACTCCAGAAACAGACCCAGCAGAATTAATTGGGGAGCATTTGTGTAGCTAAACGTTTGGGAAACTTCATCAAGAATTCAGCTCTCCATCTTTGGCGAACATTTATACATTATGCATGTCATTTAAATGCAATTAGAGGTCCTAATATGTTAATCTCTTTCATTTATTTGCCAACGCTTTTTTTGTAATTACATTGTTGTAAACAATGATAAAACTGTGTCCTCATGCATGCGACTGGATAATTGGCTACTCACAACACATTTAGTAGATTAGACTAAAACTATTATACAATCATATCTGGGAAACTGGCTGTAAGATGCCCACTGTGTCTTAATTTCCAGTCATTGGTAGCTGATGTAAAGGAGAAACACATACTTATGGGTGATTTGTAATGTAGTGTGTGTGGGTTTTAATTTTAGTCTTTTTTATTTGCACAGACAGGAAATCCTGGGGCCCGAGACTCAAACTCCCATATGAGCACAACAGCTTAACAAGTGTTGCTAACTGCTAGGCCACAGCAGGGTTGCCAGGTTTTCCCAACAAAACCCGCCCAATTGCTACTCAAAACTAGCCCAATCACATTTCGAGGGAGGTCCTCCTGTAAATATGATCAGGGTTGCCAGGTTTTCACAACAAAACCCGCCCAATTGCTACTCAAAACTAGCCCAATCACATTTCGAGGGAGGTCCTCCTGTAAAAATCGTGTTCTGGGCTGTAAAATACATGTTTTTTTGGTGGGGTTCCCCTGGTAAAATTCGCATTTCAGGGCCTAAATATCACATTATTGGGGTCGCTTCAACCTGCAGACATGAAAAACAACCCACGGCAAGAGTGTTAAAGTAGCCCAATTCCGTGGAAAAACCACATACTTGGCAACACTGGGCCACAGATCTAACATATTTTCCTTGTTTTAAATGGTGTAAATAAAAGCTATACTGTGTATTTTGCTAGGACATTGTATGTGTATACAAAAGTTTGATGGACAAATTGCCATTTTGAGAACTAAATTTGACATGAGGTCAATCTAAATTTACATATTCCCACATATCTATAACACATTTCTATTTACCAAAATATCTCTTAAATATATATATTATATATATATATATATATATATAGTTAAATTACAGTTTAAAAAATAGCAGCTGTGATTGGCAGAAATTCAAAAAACTGTGACAATTTTTTCTGTATTAAAGAATGCTGTATTTGTACTTAATATTTCACATGTGTTGTTTTAATGAAGCATAAGCAAGCGCATGCGTTGTGATACTCTTTCCACAATGGCGGCGCACCGCTGCAGATGGGATGAGGAGGAGAAGAATTGTTGAATAAAGTCGTTATTTCTGTTTTCTTTGCTCACAAAAAAATATTCTCGTAGCTTTGTAAAATTACAAGTTGAACCCCTGATGTGACATGGACTGTTTTACCGATGTCCTTGCTACGTTTCTGGACCTGGGAACATTGCAGTTGTGTTGCTGTCTACGGAGGGTCAGAGAGCTCTCGGATTGCATCAAAAAAATCTTAATTTGTGTTCCGAAGATGAACAAAGGTTTTATGGGTTTGGAACAACATGAAGGTAAGTGATTAATGACATATTTTTCATTTTTGGGTGAACTATCCCTTTAAGACATAACAGATTATGTTTGCGTGAATACTTAAAAACTGTAATTCTGTGTATATGTAAATATATGTATCGGGATCGTGTGCTGTCAAAAGCCTTTATGCGCGTGCTTTGGATGACAGTCAGCACAAGAAGCGAGCAGAGA